GGATGTATTTGCCTATAAATGAACTGTGTAAAATAATTTTTCGTAAAAGTTAATTGTTTCAACTATTGGACACGGTTTATTATTACACTTTTACCTCTTAAACTTTTGGCAGAGATGTTACGGCTCGTACAAACTTAATTAAACATTATTAAGTTAATTGACGTTGTTGACTGAATTGACGTAGACTCGAAGATAACAAGTAATCTGATATTAAAACGGGATAAATAATTTTCAACTAACGAAAAATGTTACACATAATAATAATATCGAAAGCGTAAATTGTCGGCGTCTTTTAATTATATGCGTTTTCTGATAAATCATATGATTACAGGTAATCATCTAATCACATGTATAACGATCCAACACGCTGTCTTCGTCTCTTCATCCAGACATTCGGAAATACGAAGCGATGCGTTGAAACACGAATCGGGTCAATCGTTGCCTCGTTATTAAGAACAGATTATCCAACGTCACGCAAGAATTTAACTGTCAAGATGAAAATCGAATAAATCTCGCTAACAGATAGAATAGCTCCGGAATCATTTACTGAATCAAGTAATTAATTACCATCGATGAATATTCATGGTTTCAAATTTTTACAGTTGGCTCATAATGAATTTTGATAAAAATCCTGATTAATAAAGAATTGTATACAATGTGAAACGAGTGTTATTTATTTCTCTGATACAAATCGTGTTTAATAAAGAATTGTATACAATGTAAAACACGTGTTATCTATTCTCCTATCCTCGTTACTTCTGTCGTGAACCAGCGCTCCGTCATTCTTACGATCCTCGAATCACTGCGGGTAAAATGGATCAGATAAACCTGGGAGAAGAATGGGTCGTTCGACGCGAACAGTTACGGAGAATTAGCCCGTTAACGTAGCGGATTAACATTATACAACGCGAACCCGTTTAAATCCCCTGCGTGTGACATCTGCTCGCACTCAGTCCGAGCATTGTTCCGATAAACAAGCCACCTGAACACGTTCTTTAATTGAATCTTATATACAGTTATCCCATGTTCCTCGTAGCACTTCACCACCGGAAGCTGCCTTTTTCGGGTGAACTGGTCAAATCTGACGAGTCTCGGTCGCGTAGGAGTGGCCTCGCGTGAAGTAGCACGGTTTTTCGACTCGTTTAGGATTGTAAAGGAAGAAAGCGAACGTGTCGGAGAAATAATCGGCTGACGTGCTCGCGAGGAAGTGGCTGAGCCTACTCGTATCGACACGAATCTCCACTTTCGAGGCAGCAGCAGCGGTATCGAACGCGAGAACGGTGTTACCGCGGTCGGAACGGGAGAATCGTGGGAACGAAGGGGAGGATGAGTCCGACGGGAGTAGAAGAAGAATAGGATCTGGAAGAAGGTGAAAGAAATACGTGGCTACGGTAAGGAGAAGGTCTGCTCGGGTGCAGGCAACGAGGATATCGCGATCGCGGATAGCAAAGACACGGACGGAGTTCGCAAATAGCTCCCCGAGCGAAAGAAGGGATATCCGAGTCCCCACTATTAAATGGCTCGACTCAGACGCGGAAAGGAGAAGCTACATCGGGGGCGGTAGAACACCATCCAGCCTCAGTACAATTTAGACACTCGCCTGAATCATCGCTAAAGGGTGATTCTTCCTGTTTGGTTTAACAGAACGAGACTACGTCAAACGTGAAGAGAATTCAGAGGGTCTCGTGCAGGTTTTTTTTTTATTACGAATCATCGATGAAAAGGATGAGAAGTTCTTCGGTGTATTTCGAGGGACGAGTTTACGGTCGAGATTAACCAAGTGGATAATAGACGACAGAAGTTCTCCAGTGCGTATCATCTTCTTGCAGTCTCGACCGCAGACGATCGGAAGACGGTTCACCGTCAAAAGAACAAAGAGGCGAATTCTGAAAAACCAGAACAAAGCGCTCTGATTCCCATTTTCGTGGAAAAAGAACACCGAACGGTGAATTCTAGTTGAACAACGAACCCGCTCAAATTGAACGTTTCCTGTGATTCTTACCGAGGCACGAGCATGCGAGGCTCCTTCAAAGACACGCAATGACACAAAACGCGTGTCCGTCGCTCCGCCGATCGGATCCGCGCAGGAGAGCATCGAGCCGGAAATCTGCCACCGGATCACGAATGATCATTTCCATTCGGACGAAACAGGGTTGCGAACAGACGGTCAAAGAAAACGACTATCGCCAGTCGTACAGCGGCTCTTCACTCGATCGATTCTAAGATCGTTTCTAAGAAGATTTCCCATTGGAAAGTTTTCGTTTAAGCTCGTAATGACGGTGATTAGTTTCCGTAATTGCGAGTAATCATCGTTGACCATTTCGGGAAGGTTAACAGCGAAGACGGTGAAAGCGCGTTGCAAGGATTCGGAGTGGAAAAAGGGTTGATAGGTTTATCCTGTGACGCGTGAAACAAAGTCGTACGGCGGAAGCTCGTTCGCTCCGAGCCATAAATAAGAAGAGTTTAGCGGATCTCCGCGTTACGAGGTGAAGAAGATTGTAGAAAGTCAACAGGCAGGAAATAGAACTCGTTTTATCATCGACGAAACGACTTCATCGTCCAGAGGTGAGAATCGATACTCTATACATTTTTTATGTAAAGCCAAATGTTTCCGGTCGTAAAAAAATATGATCTAGATCAGTGGTGGCCAAATCCGGCCCGCGAAATTATTTAATCCGGCCCGCCGAAGACCCATCGACATGGATAGTATATGGCCCGCTAATACGTATTTATTGAATTATAATAAGAATATAATAAGAATTACGTTATATTAAATTATAATAATAATTAAAATATAATAAGAATTACGTTTTCACGGTCGAGAAGTATAAAGTGAATTTTTTCTATAATTCTGGCCCTCCTCTAGAATTTCTTAAACTTTGTGGCCCTCCATTAAAAAAGTTTGCCCACCACTGATCTAGATCGTGAATCGGAGAAACGTAAAAGGTGTCGAGTGTTTCTGTTAGAAATATATTTCGATTTGATCGGCGCGTAAAAAAGGAAACTCCGCGCCAGAACGGTTTACGTGCGTGACGCACGGAATGGGATGTAACGATTCTGTAGGAGCTGTAAAATCGTACCGTCACTCGCGTATGCACCGGATTTTATTAGACGCGAACGAATAAATTGTCGAGTAGAAAGCCTGAACAGCGGAAGGCCGTGAGTGTCGCTTATCTTTTGGTAGAAAACGAAAGGATTGCTTCGCGTGCAGGTAAAGAATCGGATAGAGCGGACCAATAAAATTGATATGTTTATGGAACCGTTTCACGCTGTGAGCAGCCGCCGTAACGTTGACCGTCGATAAATTCTGTTTAGAAACGGCAGGCAGCACTTGTAAAATTGTCCAGCGGATAAATCGACACAATACGGAAGGCCCGAATGGGATAAGACTGAAACGAGTTCGACATTACCTTGGCGAAGGAATCGGAAACGAGTAATGGTCACTCGGCTCGAAGTAGGTAAGTGGCTTAAAGCTTGTCGCGCTTCACAATGCAGACGCAAGCTCATAGATCAAAATAAAATATCTCCCGATCTTACAATTCTTGATTGATAAATGGTGTATTAAAATCCTGCCTCGAAAGCCTAGACTTGAAAACGGATTTAGTTTATGAGTACGATTACCCTCCATCCCACGTGCCTCACTATCATTAACCCATTCGCTGCCAAGGACGAGTATACTCGTCTTTGGCAGGGTGTCACGCATTGCCAGGACGAGTATACTCGTCCTGCTTTAAATATATTATAACATGCAGGCTTTTGAATTAGCAAATTTTCCCCCTTCCCATTGCCAACGACGAGTATACTCGTCTTTGGCAGGGTGTCACGCATTGCCAGGACGAGTATACTCGTCCTGCTTTAAATATATTATAACATGCAGGCTTTTGAATTAGCAAATTTTCCCCCTTCCCATTGCCAACGACGAGTATACTCGTCTTTGGCAGGGTGTCACGCATTGCCAGGACGAGTATACTCGTCCTGCTTTAAATATATTATAACATGCAGGCTTTTTTGAAGGCCCATTGCCAACGACGAGTATACTCGTCTTTGGTTTTCTGCTTCTAAATGATTATGTATGATAATATATGTGCTCTTACCAAGAAATAACAGGGTTTTGGTAAACAATAGCACTCAAAATATAAATGGCAATAGGAATGATTTCATATAATTTAGGCTTGGCAGCGAATGGGTTAAAAACGTCGGAGCATCGCAAAGCCGTTCTTCCCAGAGTCGTGCGAAAACTGACCCCCTGTTTCACGTTTCCCCGATAGACGTGCGCTATCACGAATACGTTAAGTATTAATGCACGGGAAGCGTTCGCGTGCCACGTCCAACAGAAGTGAAACGCAGCTTTTTTTCATTAAACTTGCATGAGCCGTAGGATCTCTGGCAGAAGTTTGAGAACTGTGATAAAACTCTATGTCCAATACTTGAAACGATAAACGTGTAAAGAAAATTATATTTACAGAAAAGTAACAAGAAATCGCATTAATCCATTTTATACTTTGGATATCTTAACAACTTGCTTGCAT